ACAGACTAGTGTTATCTGGTCTCCAGTTTTCTCCTTCTGTCGATCCTACTTGGTGCAACACCCTGATAATATTATAATAAAAACTTGCGTTCAAAAATGTGTGTAAGTAGAAATAGTTGATTCGAGCAAATTCTTCTTTCTGCTCGTAACTAAACATTCAAGGTTGATCAGAGGTCAACGGTCATTACTACCACGAAGTTAGTGTGCCTAGAACTACCTAATAGGGTATTCTTTAACTAATACCCAAATTTTAATTGTGAATATAAATATTTGAGAAAGATAAGAACTTGTATTCAGTCCAAAACCTAACCTTTTAAAATCATGTAAATTAAATCATCTTTTATAGTATACACATGTTTTATCTGCAATAAACAGTTTTGTGAATTTTAAACATCTATGGTAAAACTTGATTATTTTAATATTTAAAACATTTTGCTAAAATAACTCAGAAGTCACAAACGCATTGCCGGACCATCAGGAAGGGGTGGGTACGCATTCAAAATAAAATAAAATTAGAAACTAGAAATATTCGCATTTCGAGAAATTGTGTTTTCTATTTTCAAAGAAAGAAGGTTTATGCTCTGGTAACCTCATTCACTTGGTGAAAAGCAAAACAAACGAATTGTTCAACACCACCACTACAAAAATTGCTTTTTTTTTTGCGAAGCTGAGGTATCGCTCCGGTTGAGCCCGTAGCCGGAGCATGGCTCTCCCACGATAAACATGGTTCTCTTTCTCTTCCCTTCCATTTTTTATCCCTGTTGGCCAGTTGATGTCTCTATCTCTAGTGGTCTCGGCAATTACAGTATGGACATGAGATTCCGGCCTCTTCTGGAGTCTCAGTTCGTTTTTCCTATCCGAGATTTGCTAAAGCCCCTCACCCTAACAGTTTCCTTACCCCAATCTAACTAAGGTATGTTTTTTTTGTCTGAGAACAATTACATTCCATAAGTCCATAAAAGAAAGTAGACAAAACCCAGTCTCAAATAAAAACAAGTTGGTCTAGTGGTTAGTGAACCTGTCTGCTAAGCCAGAGGTCGTGGGTTCGATTCCCACCCAGTACAAATATCTGTGTAATGAGCATGATTGTTTGTTCTGTGTCTAGGTGTAATTTATCTATAATACGTATGTATTTAGAATATATAAGTATGTTTATCAGCAGTCTGGTTAACATAGTACAGGCTCTGCCTAGTTTGGGATCAGACAGTCGTGTGTGAGATGTGTAAGGTTATTTTTATTGTTCAAGAAATGTCAATCGTTATTATTCCAAAGTTATTTTGTATAACCGGACTGTTTTTCTCGTGACGGTGTTAATTCTGATCTGTTAATTAACTATTCATGTGTAACCGGATACACATAGGAGTTAATCCATTAAATATAAATACATATTTCAAATTATTTGCTTGATCATTTTTTGCTGCGAATTTAGTCACTATAAAGAATATTCATACGAATTTATCTAATAAACATAGTTTTTTTAACATTATAGAGACATCGCAAAATCATGCTTCGCTGTTATAAAATCTATCAAAAATAACGCCGTTCTTGCAAACAAATACTGCAAAAGCAGCTCATTATAAATGACATCATTATTAAAATATGCAACATTATTATTATTAACACGTCCGCATTAATAATTGTCTTAAGAATCACGTTTCGTAATAGTAAGTTCACACACCGTAAGCGTGTTTCTGCGTTTGCTTTTCCGCATGCTTTCGTGTTAAATATTCTTTCTCTCGTTTTATTTGAAAGTTTTGCAGTTTTATAGTGCAGGTTTTTGCTGCGTTTGTGAAAACACGAAATGGGGTCACAGACAGCTATTTGTTTTAAGTAAACAGACACCACTGTGTACGGAAATAAAATCGTTACTCTTTTCTTTTTATATAAACCACAAGTTTTTGTAACAAAAAGATATGACTTGACAGTACGTGGCTAAAACTTCTATGAAAATGAATTTCAAACACTAAAAACATATTAAGAAAACTAACTTTTTAACCGACTTCATGAAAGAAGATGGTTTTTGTTTATGGTTTTCTGAAATAAGTTTTTTTTTTCACAAAATTCAGTTTCATTACCTCTTTTCTGGATGCCAGTATTTATTTTGTTTTTAGAAAGTACGGCAACACTCAAATACAATTAAAAAAGAGCGACACTCATGATATTGGTAAAAGCCATTGGTAAAAAATAATTTCTTGTGGCATGTTTTAGGTGTGTTTAAGTCGTTTGAAGATAAGTAAATGGGTGTATTAATAATAATAACAATCCAGCATATCAACCGATTTGAGTACAAATTATTATTATCCAACAAACTAAGAATTCTTGCTGTATTTCTAGTAAATTTAGTATCTCAGTGCAGAGTATAAAATCCAGCTATTAACAAGGGACCTATCCAAAATGCGGGGGTAGATGGAAAAAAGCTGACGGTATCACAAAAGGGTCGTTTCATAAATTGCGGACAGACGGACGTTTTTATTCGCTGGCCGAGGTTCACATTCGTCAGGATTTCGAGCGGGCGTGTCGGCAGCATCAATCTTGAAACGTGAGCGAATTTTCTGTTGCGTTTCAGTTATATTACTGTCCTGCTACGATTTACGTAGTGGCGCAAGATCACGCTAAATCTCCTTTGTTGATAAAATGTATATGTACTTCACATTATATGAACGTTAGTCACGACGAATAATAACTAGAAGTATTAGCACATTGCATGATACCGCATTTTAACATTATTTGGCCGATTCGAAGGTGCTGATTTGATAGGCTTTATCAAATAAGTATCGTCTGCCAAACTATATCTAATCTATCATTTATAATGTGTCAGTAATTAGTTAATTTTCCTGTATACAGACAACTAGACGCGGTCTGAGAGTTAGGAGATCACATCGTACAAGTAACAAAAACGCTAGACAATCACTTTGGCCGCGATCGCTCCTGGAAACATTGTGTACTTGTAGTTAGTACACAGATTGATATATAGGTACATACAAGCGTATCCTTTCTGCTTGCTCTTATGAAAAAACTGAGTTCAGTTGTAAACATTATGAATTACAAAAGTAAAAAGCCATAAAAGTACATAATAAACGAAACATATTATGTACGTTTGCAGTGGAACTAGAATCTACGTATCTACCATGTCACAAAACGCGCACGTGTCGAGCGTACGTTATTGGAGGGTGAACTTTTATTGACATTTAATCTATCACTACAGTATTGTGTTACTGGGGGTCTTAGGTGAAATATTTTAACAAACGGTTAGTCACCTTTTTACATAAATTCATTAAAATATTAAATGAAAATAAGAAGAATATAAAATTAAAATGATGTTGCTAGATATGTGGCGTAAGATACTAACAGGGGATTTTTTTTTCGATATATCGCATTTTCATTCCCATAAAAGTACTAAACTTTAATAGAACCGTGACGACCGAATGGCGTAGTGGTTTGTGTAACGGACTGCTATTCCAAAGGTCGCGGGTTCGATTCCCGCTCAAGTCAAATATATGTGTGCATGAACATTTAATGTTTGATTTGGTCTGGGTGTTTCTATGTATAATAAGTATGTATTTACAAAAAAAAGTATTTATGTATTTATTACAGTAGTCTAGTACCCATAGTACAAGCTCTGCTTAGTTTAGGACTAGATGGCGTTGTGTGAATGTGGTACAATATTATTTATTTATTTATTTAACCCTGTATAAAAGCATTTTATTTTTTCACATTCAATATCATCTTTTATACTACTTTTATCACGATCTATATTGTTCTGGGGACTGTTTATCATAATCTTCCGTCTCCAATATTCAAATACACTTAGTTTCCAATCCTTTCATATGTTCTTGTTCACATTCCCAGTTTTTTGGGATAACTTTTATACTCGTGATAAACTTCCACTTTACATATTCCACTCTCGTGAAATAAAAAAAAAACTTTGTTGAAAATTTATGCATATATACTATATGTGTGTTGTACATAGAGTTAATGTGAACAGCATAAGTATGTTGATCGATTAGATAAATACAACATAACAAAATAATACATTCGATAATATTGTGATAAACGGTTTTGTTATGTCAATGTTATCTAAGCATTTGCTACGTTTAGTTGGTAACTATGCCATACATATTCATACGGTTTAAAGGTATTTAATATGTTTTGTTATTTCGTCACATTTGAAATTAGTCATTTTATTATAAAATCTAGGATATTTGAGAAGGCATAACTTGATCAAGTTCTCTTAAACTCCTACATATTTTACAGACTCCGAAATGAAGGAACATTTTAACCTAATTGTTTTTGCTACGTATTTTGAGATACTTTTCGGAAGCCGTTATTCAGTTGTTTCTAACACAGTTTTAAAACAAAATTACAACTATGTGAGTTTACTCGAAAATTACAATTAACAATACACCTATGTCATATCAATTAGCTCTGTTATAGTAACACCAGTGCCCAGACTATATTATATCAACAGCTATGGAAGATGAGTGAGTCAAACAAACACAATGACCTTGAAATTACAAGAGAAAACCTATTTAATGCTAGACCTGTTGACGTCGAGATAGTTTATCATAAAATATTTTACTTAATGTAAGCGAAAACAAGTTATATCCCGTAGATACGGCACAAATATTAAGTAAAAGTCAGAGTAAACAAAGTCATTGACAAAATTATTATTCGTGAAATGTCAGTCACGCCTACTGCCAGAAGTGAACCTTCGTCACGGACATGCCATCCCAAATTAATATGCCATAGACATAATGCTGAAATACCGAAACTGGAACTTTACGAATTTAACATAAGACGTAAACTTCCCGCGCTCAATATCGCTTGATATCGATTCGGGAGAGGACTTGATTTATACGCATATAAAAAGCTTGCAGTATAGTTACAAGGTCATTGAACGCTTGGCTGCCCTACAAATCTTGGAGATCTAACAACTCTAAAGTCGGTTAAGGAAATATCTATTGTTTACGATAGAACTGAAGTTGGCAGTGTAAACATACCTGATAGAACAGTCCGGTTGAATCGTGTCGAGTGAAACAATCCAGTGACTACAATCCGGTAGCCAGGTACACACAACAACACAAAGGGGACTACTTCTCCTTGTTCTCGGACAATAGCAACAATGGCGTTGAGTACGGCGCGAGAATCGAACGCGGCGTTGTCTGGTCGCACGGAGCGTTTATCTGTCGGTGACAACGAGCGCCGTCGCCGAATAACAATAATGAGGCGGCTAATTATTATTATTACCGCTCGGTGGTCGCACTCGCTCGCTGAACGTAGGTAGGTGGCGTAATCGCTGAATTCCATATAATCGTGGCGCGCACTCGCACTCACACACACAGAAATACATACTCGCGCCACGTGTGGTGACGTCGGCGGCGGGGCTAGGCGCAGGTAACGTGTACACAGAGCGCGTTGGCGGGTATGTGCGTATCGATCTCGCGATAAATTCGATATGGTGGGGCGGTGAATGCACCGGCCGGCTGGCAACGGCGGTCGCCTTTCACGCCGGCGAAAACGCAATTTACGACCTGTGCACGTCGCTGTGACCTGCGACAGGCAATGTTCATACAAAACGTGTCGGGCTCGGTTCGTCGGAGTTGCTAGTTGTATGTACTATCGGGCGCGGGCGCAATGCCACGCGGACACGCGAACATTCTCGAACGGCGAGATAACACGTGTATTTATTAATGGCGCGAATTGCGCAACAATGTTTAGTGATAAAACGCCTAACCTCGTGTTCGCTATACCTTACAGTAGGTGACACGAGGTTACATAGCTCTTGTCGGGGGATCGGGGGCCATACTGTTTTAAGGGGGCATAATCCAATTTGTCGACGGCCGCACCATTTCTAATCACCTTAATTGGGGAACGCCCAAGCTCCAATTACTGTTTTCGTCGCTTGTTTTCAAAGAGCCCACGCATAGTACTAAAACATCAACAATTAACACGACAAGATAATAACAATCACCTATGTAATTGATCAATAAATAAATTAATGAGTCACGACTCGGAAACACGACGCAAGAAAACACCAACAAACTATTTACAAATTCAAACGACCGGATACTTCTCACTAGTTCTCGTAATATGAACAAGTGAAATTAGGACGACTTTTGTAAATTGGCCGTCGTTTGAAGACGTCGAGAGCGTCTGTCATCTAGTATGCAACATGAATAGGCAAACCATTTAACTATAAGAAACAAAGTGATTTATATTATTTCCTACCAAATTCAAACAATAACCTTCCTTTTTAGAGAGAGATTTATTGAGTTCAAAGCTTCAAACAGACCGTTATTCCTAATTTAAATATTTAAAGCGGTAATAATATTCATACATGGGAGCAAAGAAACAGAGAAAAATCGGTTATGCGATCTGACAGGGTTGTTTAGCAATAATTGTGGGTGTGCATAACACAAGTTGTATGTGTATCGTAGGAAAATGACAAAGTGTAATACCTGTACCAACCGAATGGCACAAATACGTCAACGTCAACAGAACGAGCCGTCTGTCGAACGATAGCTAGCAGCACTGAGCAAAAAGTGAATAATGGCGAACGTCGGCGACCGACTCTCAACGGCGCACAATTGCGCTATTTCGAGATACGTTTTCCTCTTAGCAATAATACCTACGACTACTAATAATAATAGCAACAGCGTCCTGTACAAACAACTACACAATGATGATTGTTCTGCAAAAACGGCTCTAGATAGATACAAACAAACGAGGCGATCTCCTCTGAGATAGATTTATTGACGGGGTCGACACGTGGCACCACCGCGACGCAGAAGGTGAACGAACGACTAGCCGTTTTAATGTGGGGGTTTTAATCTTAAACAAAAACCTCTAACTGTAATATGGAAACACACAAAAGGGAGGGGGTGTAACACAAATTAGTGCGACATTAGCGACAAGTTAAAGTGTTTCTGTTATTACCGTATTCACGATGTGAGCGACTCGATGGCCTAACTTAGAGAGTTGGGAAAACGCGGAATATTACATAATACATGTTCGACTTCGAAACGCGAGTTAACGCCAACTTGTGTTTTATGTGCACATGCACATGCACATTGATATACATACCTACGTAGTGTTATTAGAACTGTTCTACATCGGAATGTAAAAGGTGGGGGCAACTTCCCGTGACCGATTCGCCCAAATGTGCACTAAAATCAAGTATCAAAGTAAGGTGAAGCGAAGATGCGACCAATAGTTGTTTGAGAGCAGCCATAGACTTGTCGTTTCAACTAGGAAACTTCTTAATAGGTACATTAACTATTTGAATTTTAAGTGCGGATGTTTTGTAACAGCTTTTACGCAGGTGGTGCGTGTCCACCAGCTATACAACTTGTTATCAACGACAGAATATATGTTTTGAGTATATATAATTATGTTGTATATACTCGCTATACGTTTCATTATAATAATAACAATAACTTCACACATCACACACGGCTGTCTGATCCCAAACTAGGCAGAGCCTGTACTTTGGTAAGTAGACTGCTGATAACCATACTTATGTATTTCTAAATACATATTTTAGATAAAAAAGCCGTGTGGTGTCGTGGGACACCCGATAGGAACGAAGTTGTAACGATCGAGTAAAACTGATTCGACACGATTTTAATTACAACGCCATCTATGAAAGCGGCTATTACCTACATATTTTTCAGTTGGTTTCTAATTAAAAAAATTTATACATTGGTAAAATCTCATTGAGAAATGATTTCCTATCTATTGGATAGATGGCGCTGAATGACTGACAAGCGACAATTCAAAATAAATACTGAGATGAAAGTAATGATTTCCTATCTATTCGATAGATGGCGCTGAATGACTGACATAAAAGTGTCCTTACAACTTTTCGTGAGATTTTTTTCCGTCTAGCCTCCTTTCACAACGCGCGATAAGGAACTTCGTTCCAATTATACCCAGACACAGAACAAACGATCGTGATCGACAAATATTTGTCCTGGGTGGGAATCGAACCCACGACCTCCGGCTTAACAGTCAGGTTCACTAACCACTAGACCAACTGGCCCGCCAGTTTTATTTTGTCATTATTCGTGATTATGAACTGATTTGTCTAAGTGCAATCAAATCTGTAGCCTTCGTACATATTCAAGCGGAATGCAGTTGGGGTTTAGCGGAATATTACACAATAGTGGCAAACTAGACGGTACTTATGCGAAGCGCAATCACACACATTACAGTTGAATTCAATGAATGAACAGGCTTACGAAACTAAACAGAAAATACCGAAATTATGAATATGCATTCACATCTGCCATCGAATTAGGTGTCCTGTGGATTCAGTGTTAGCTATGGAAACTGTATATTTAATTCAAGTGGTACATAGGGTCATTGCGCTAGTTAGCGACCAGTTAGCTAGGGAGCCCACTTCAGATGAGTCGAAGAAAATGTTTTCTATACCAACAATATATATATATAATATAATATAATATAATATAATTTCTGTAGCAATATAGCATGTGTTGGCGAAAATTGGTCCCGAGTATAGTCTAGTTTGAATATAAAACATATAATACCTTCATCCATAAATTATTATAAAATGCTGAAAATGTAGCCGAAACGTCAGTTTACGACCACTGGTAAGCTTGTTGGTGACCGCTATTTTATTATGATAAATACGCTTACACAAAAATTGTAATTGATTTAAAATGTCTTTAATTTTACTTTCTGGATGATGGTTAGAGTTTGTGGGTTGTGCTTTGGAGTAGAGCTCTTCTATAAATGCTATAATCTTGACTTAAAGGAACTTGGTTCGTCAAATGGTCGCCTACTGAACGTGGTCTCAAAACCGGCGCACCTACAAACGTATCACTATATCATGTAACACTTTATTAAATGATCCACACTTTGGTCAATTATTGTAGGCAGGATTGCAAACAGATGCCTTACTTGCTACTTTGCAAAATCATGCGCTGCCAATATTTCTTTATAGAACTCTTATCCAAATAATAGTTTGCTGCACTGCACTGCAACTGCACGGATGGCGAAGTGGTTTAAGCGGTCGCCACGCCGCTTCCTATTACGCCGATTGTTGTGGGTTCAAACCCCACATGGAATAACACTTTGTGTGATCCACAAATTGTTGTTCTGAGTCTGGGTGTACTTTGTGTCCGTTTCATGTATGTTTGTAAAGTCCCCCGCGACACAGGATTTATTCCTAGTGCGGGAGTTGTCTTTTTAAAAAGAGAAGAAGAAAGAAAAAGTTTGTAATATTCAAACAGTAGCTATGAGTTTTATATTATCCTTTTATTATTTCAAGTAAAGTTATAAAAAGACCGCACATTAATATGACAGTTCAAGCACATGTATTCTAAAGTATCTCAGTCTCTTGTCTTCTAGATTCTAATCGTTTAAATAACTAACTGTTCACTTGGGTATATGTATCAGTCAGCGTTGTTTAAATTGCCAAGTCACGTAAATGTAGAAAGCATTGTATCATTAAAATCATAAAGAAGCTAAAACTTTCCTACACCCGTTTTAAAAACAACCTACTTTATTACTTACAAGGGCAAGAATGACTCACTCGATTGCGAGTCGACAGACGAGACATGTTTGAATTAGTAAAAGCCTGCGTAGTATGCAGTTTTTTTATTGGCGGGAATTGGATTGCATGAATATAGGGCACAGAACTTTTTACACATATCGTGGTTTTATGTAAGAAACTTACAAAGTAGTTTTTAACAACTTCAAAACTAAATATTTCAAAATTTGAACAAATTAAATTACGCTAAACAATGAAAAATATAATAACAGTGTATAAGTCTTTTCAGTTACTGCTATCTAAAAAAAATAATTATAATTAACCAACGAATTTTAATACGCAAATGCAAAAAAAAAACACGTGAAAGATACACCACGTTGATTATGACACATTTTCTGAAAGCTTCGTTGTACGCAGGCGCAAAGACACGTGATAGCATAGAGGAGACGAAGACCACAGAAAACACTGTATACTTGATCTATCTCATTCTCGTGCAGGGTACATCCTATTTATGAATATGTTTGTCTCTTTTTACTGTCGCTTTTTCGTTTCATCGAATTTTTAAATCACGAATTAGCTAAAGAAGTTTAGCTTCAAAAAAAGAAGCAAATAAAACTAAAACGTAACATAAAGGTAAAAAATATGTAGGTGCTTGACATCAAATGATACAAAGAGTTCATTAGTTCATGATTTTTAACATTTAGTACTAAGTCCAGCTCGGCACTCACAAATGTATAATATCAGTTACTTCTTACATGTCCACGTAAGCCACATTAAACGATGATAGTGCATG